AGCCGCTGTGCCGGCCCAGGGACACAATCACGCGCCTGGTGAATCCTTAGAGCTTAACCAGCGCGTCCCAGCAAGCGCACCTGGAGCCACACTGGGCCTGGGGCAGGGCCAGGTTCTGTCTGTGCTCAGCCCAGCTGACCTGCCCGCTCACGTTTCTTCTAGTTCAGTTGAGCTTTCTCTGGAGTGCTACGGCTGCAGGTGGCCTATGGATTGAGACCTCTCTTTTCTCATGGTCTGCTGTGAATTTTCTTTCACCTGTCATTTCCTTTCATTCAATTTCAAAGTTAAAAAAACAGTGTGATGTTTCTGAAAGAATAGAATCACTTACTATTTCTAAACAGTTACATTGAAAGGGTGCAGCCTCATCCTTGTTACTCACCGTTAGTTGCCAGGGAAATCGTTCTTTATATGGTCACACAGAGAGGGAAGCCCAGAAGCAAAGTATCAAGTAAATAATTACCTAGAATGCAACTTAAATTGTTCTTTTCCTTATGAAATCATGAGTGAAGTGAACCAGCTTCAAACTGCTGTCACGTAGTAGTTGTTCATAGGAGCATTCAGATCAAAGGATTACGTTCCTGGTTTCCCTGTGGTTTTTGTCTGTTGGACAAGCCTTTGAGGAAGACAGTCTAAAAAACAACTACTTTCAGATCGTTTAACAATGTTCTTAGGATTCTGTGGTACAGAATTTTGGCTATCATATTCATTTTCAGGGACTGGGCTTTTAGTGTTCGGTATTTACCTACTTCTTTGTTAATTGGCGTGTCTATTTCTAAAGCACTTCTGAAATGATGTTAACAGATGCGTGGATTTGCAAGTTACACAGCTACTAAAACACAAATAGCTTCTCTTACAGTTTTGGTTAGAATGTTGCCTATCTGAACGGGAGGCGTAGGGAGCCAATTTCCAAAGTCACAAACGCACCAAAAGAGGAGGTTGTGGGGTTTGGTGCTGCCCCGGCATTGCCACCACGCACAGGGCTGAGCGGCTCGGGATTGCCAAAGAGGGCAGAGCCCTCGCTCAGGAGGCGCAGAGCCATGTGCACTGCCAAAAAGAATTTTATCTTAAAGTATATGCTCAATTGTGATCAAATCAAGCACTCCCTTAAAACATCTTGCCTTTGCAACATGGAACAGGTGCATTGTCCTTTGGTTATGCTGCGAGTTCAGAAACTGAAGACATTTAACTTTCAGAGAATGCTAAGCAGATGTTGGTGTTATATATGTAACTGGCATATGTGTTTTCTGCCTTCTTGTTTGCACTTCTTGATGATGTTTTTTCTGGGTTTTTTTCTACTCCTGCATTTTGAAATTGGAAGATGTTTTGAATTAGTTTAATTTTAACTCTTCTCGGGCAGTGTGAAATGATTGCTTAAACATGTCAGATCTTAACCTCTGCTGAGAAAAAAGTTAACATCATGATTCTTGCGAATAGATCATCGTGACTGACATTGTTTATTGTACTTCTGTTTTTAGAATAATATATAAATGCTCTATGTGTGACACTGTGTTTACTCTACAACCTTTGCTCTATCGCCACTTTGATCAGCACATTGAAAACCAGAAGGTGTCTGTTTTCAAGTGTCCAGACTGTTCTCTTCTGTATGCACAGAAACAGCTTATGATGGATCACATCAAGGTGTGTAGGCATCTTCTCTTGTTTCCTTCATAGATACCGTTTGTCATGCGATGTATGCTGTGAGAAAGTACTGTAAAAAGGCACGGAGTAACAAGATGACTGCTGAGAGAGGTGTTGAAAATTCTAAGAGAGTAATCTGTAAATAATGTGCTCCAATGTTAAAATGTTCTGATTTGCGTGCTCTTCAGCACATCTGTGGTGTAATCACTAACTCGGTTTCTCTATGGGAATGTTGATTTTGGCATACTGGAAATACCTCCATGCACCACGTTCGGTAGGTCAGTTTATTAAAATAATAATGGATATAGTGAAGTCAATTAGTCTGAGCCTACTAAGTGTTGAGCTAAGTATTATTGCACTTGCTAGGAGCTGAGAATGCCGAGTGCTTCATAAAATCAAACCTTTGGTGTTCAGAATTCACCATTAGGAACCAGTATGTTCTTGAATAGGTGTAGAGGTTATTTGCATGTGTGTTTGCATACAGAAATGAACACTTGCATGCTTTGAAGAAAACTTGACGTGGATTTTCTCATAAATACCGTTTTAACTGAAGATTTACTGTCATCCTTGCAAATCACGTTTTTAATTTTTTAGCTGCGCGTATTAAATACACGATGTTATCTTGTTTCATAAATGCCAGATCTGTTGGCAGTGCTGAATTTCTTTTGCCTTACTAACATCTGGTGCCTGGTTAACAGCTGAAGCTGTTGAGCCCATTACCAGGTATTACAGTCCAGAATGGTGGCACTTCATTCCCTGGGTTTCTCAGTAAAAATTGTATCCAGAGTAGGGAAAACCCAGACGTCTTTCTCATCTGGTAAAACCATCGTTTTGCATTTTAGTCTCAACTATGACACTTGTAGCCTCAGAAATCTGTGAAGTTTTATTGAAAACAAGATACCAAGTCTTGAAAAAAACAGTTGCTCTTAAAGCCAATCTTAAGCTTGAGGAGGAGGTGGGGAAGGGCTGACCCAAGATGTTCAGAACTAGAAAAACTGGGTATTTTATTTGTTTCTGAACTAGTTCATATTTACTGTAAGAATTCTCTTCCATTTATGCCAGATACCTTACATGGTCCTTCTGTGCAGCCACACAAAGTCCTGTTTTCTGTTTCCTTTCATCTACTTGTATTGCTTCTTCATTTAACTAAATAGGCAAGTTCCATATATTGCACCGTATGTCTTATTTATGTAATTAATTTTTCTTGACTCAGGTAAAACTGTTGTTGTATCTGTACATAACTACTTTAATACTTTAAAACAACTATTTTAGGAGCATGATCTGAGTGCAGTTAGCTATTCTTGCATAAATGAGGGTTGCTCAGCATCTCTCATTATGAAGTTACTCTCGTTAGGTACAGTTTGGGGACTACTTAACTCTTTTGGCTTTAGTCTTTCCTGCCAGCATTTGTACTTTCAAACAGTGTTGGTGTTATCGTGTTTCACTATACATGATTTAGACATGTTGAGAATCAAATTGGAGACTTAGAACATGCACATTCAGTAACAATATTGTTCCTTTTACTCAGAGTTGCCTGTGCTTTTGCACCTAGGATGCATGTATAGTATTAGGAACATCAGCAGGGAAGCATAAATTGGACTTCAGCTAAGGGGGAATGGAAAAGCCAGTAACAGGGTAGAGGTAAAAGCACAGAAGAGCTCGGGGAGAGGACAAGTGCCAGCAAGGGCAAAGCTCAGTGCAGCGGCACAAAAGGTAATTGTGTGGTATGGCGAGACATTAGCCATCAGGGCAGAGAAGACCTGGGTGAGGACAGAACAGAGAGGGATAGAAACTCAGGAGGAGGTTATTTAAAGCCACAGAAAATAACCTAGAATAATTCTTGCAGGTGTGAATGTTTCTTCTCGGCAAAATGTACGTCTCTTCCTTTAATGGCTCGCTGGAATACTATTTTTCCCAGCCAGCGAGAGCGGGTGGCGCAGGTCTGGGCGGGAGGTGCAGCACTCCAGTTCTGCTGGCGGTAGTGCCGTGGTCACTGGGACACCGTGTTGTGCTTTAATGCTTTTGTTTCTTTTCAATAAGAAATCGCTTGTCAATTATTGTGTTTAAAAGACACTTAGAAAGCTGAGCGCTTGCATTTGACATGGTGACAAGTTATGCTGTGGTGGAATCTCCAGGTCAATCCTAAATTGCCTGAAAGTACAGGAGCCGCCTCCATGCTGCTTCCTCCTTGCCTTGGTGCGAAGGGGCCCTACAGGCAGCCCGCTCCTTTACTGCACAGCTTCCCCTTGTTCTCAGAGCCGCCCAGTTGGGCTCGTGCACTTTGCTTTTTGATAACGTTTTAGTTTTTTCAATTACCGACTTCTCTTTTGAAAGTTGTTAAACAGAAGAACGAGTTCTGCAGATCAGGTTGATATTTGCTCTAGAGCCAGCAGGTAGTCCCAAGAGCCACAGGATTTACGAAAGAACTTCATGCTGAAGTATTTCACTGGAGTATGAGATTTGTATTCCCAGGCTCTCAGAATCAAGAATGCCTTGAATGTCTCTTTGTTTCTGAGATTACCTGTAGGAAAAGTAATTACATTTGGGATGGTTAGACACAACACCCCTGCGAGTTCTAGTTAAGGTCAGTAGGTGAGATGATCAGAACACTGCCCGTGTAAAGGGCAAGTCTTGAGATGTGCAGGAGCCCTTGCCGGTGGATCCGTGCTCAGCAGTGTTAGGTCTGGGCTGCAGCAGTCCTTGTGCGCCCCCAGCCCCGCTGGCTTCTTCCCACTGACTCCCCGTTCACACCCAGAACTCGGACACACGGCTGAAGTCCAGGGCTTCCTGAGCTAGTCGTCCTCTCGGCATCCCACCAGCGCAGGGCACTGGCTCCAGCAACTGAGTAAAGAGGACGTGGAAGAGTTCTTCCCCTTACTGATGTTTTACTTCAGGGCAACTCAGTGAGGATGGGTCACCACCACCTTAGAGCTGCAGGGTGCCCGGGGACGGCTCGCCGGGCACGCCTGAGCTGGCTCTGCTCTGGCACCCCGGGGACCTCTTCTGAGGACCGTTAGCAGTGTGGCCCTGAGGTAGGGTGCTCGGAACCTGAACGTGGCGTAAGACAGGGCTTAGCTCAGCCTCAGCGTTATATACTAATATATCCTAAACAGTATAGTTGCCGGATCTCTCCAGAGTTGCTTTTCTTATTTACCAGTGTGCCAAATCAAAATTTGTCAGTCAAAACCTTTCCCTTCCTGGAAATCTCTAGTCACGTAGTCTGGATTCTCAACTATTAGGTAAGTGAGAAGTTAAACTTCACATAAAATACTTCCTGAGATCTTTTCTCCTCCCTATCAAACAGCAGTTTAAACTTTTTATGTGTGTGTGTGTGTGTGTGTGTGTGTGAAAATCTCTAGCAACTGAAGACTTCTCTTTGGCAGATGGTGCCTGCTAGTGTTGGCTAGTTTCTCTTTGTGCTAGGCCTTGCCTTTACTTAGTCATGTTTCCTTAAGTTGAGAATGTGATCTGATAGTAGTATGACAAAGAAGTAAACGAAGACTTTGGATTCAGAGGGTCTTTTGCGTTTTATCAGTCCAGCTGTATACATCTATGTTAGTTTTGTACTTTTCTCTTTTCTCTTTTATTGTAGTCAATGCATGGAACTTTGAAAAGTGTTGAGGGGCCGCCAAACCTGGGGATAAACCTGCCTCTCGGTACTAAACCCACAACTCAGAACTCAGCCAGTCACAACAAAGAGGACACAAAATCTGTCAACGGCACAGAAAAGTTGGAGAAGAAATCTCCTTCTCCCATAAAGAAAGCAGAGCCTAAAAAAGTTGCTAACCCTGGCTGGACGTGTTGGGAGTGTGATAGGCTCTTCACTCAGAGAGACGTTTACATCTCTCACATGAGGAAAGAACATGGAAAGGTAAATGAATAATACTCAGTGACAAAAACTTGTTACCTTTCAAAATTCTTTCAAAATTACTACGTTCAAAATCTAAACATTTATGGATGTGCTTTATTGTAGAGAGGCTAGAACTGAGCATAAGGTAACCAAGTGTGCGATTCCTCAGTTTCCAGACCTTACTGGGAAGTGTCTGCACAGACAGACAGGTTCACATTTTTTGTATCCTCTTCCTGAGCTGGTTGAAGGTGAGCCAGCTGTAGGGTAGGAAAATCTGTAGCCGCCGTGGTGTGACTCTCTGCCTGATCTTAAAAGAGTTGTTTATGAAAAAGAGTGTTATTAGCCCAAACCGGGGGTGGTTCTAACAGCTGGATTGTGTAGGTCTGCACTCAGCCAGGTGGGCATATGCTGAGCTTCCCGGGACTTGGTGTGTGTTTCGATGAAAGGGCAGATGTTTTCTAAGCAGGAATTGCTTTGCCAGTCCCAACTTGCTGTGTATCTAATGGAACATCCTCTTCCTTCCTGTAGAGACAAGATGCTGTACAAGAAATCATGCTGCACCTGATCACTGAACTCATTTTTCAGTTCCTTTGAGTTTGGCTGCCATTGCAGAAACTAATGCATCCCAAATCCAATTTGGGTGTCCCAGTGAGTTTAGGATGGGTGTGGTGACCGGGACAGCCGTCCCAGGCAGTGCCCTGGGGGCGCTGAGCACAGCCCTCCTCCGGCTGACGCCCCTGTGCTGGGCAGCGCTGGGCAAAGAGAGCTGGGCTGGTTCTCAGCAGAAGCCCTAATGTGACTTCACATCTTATTTTACTTGATCAGTTCTTCCCAGAGCATTGCAGTCACAAGCATACTGCAAAACCGTACTGCAAAGTGTGGTGGTTAATGCGTTGGCATTAATGAGGGTGCCGTGTGTGTACACAGTCAGGTTTTCACCTTTAACAATTTAAGAGCGAAATATGTTGATTTCCTCTTATTTTAATTGGCCTTCAAACATGAAGAGGAAGGCTAGGTTGAGCAATACTGCGCCTCCAACAGCTTTGTGCCGACTAGCCCCAGTCAGATTACCATAGCGTGTTTCCTAATGGGCTCTTTCAGATTTGCATGAACGACCTTTCAGAGCTGCTTTTCTGTCCTTCCCTCACACTCCATCTCATCTCGGCCTTGGTAGCAAAAGGGCTCTCATCTCGCTGCGATGGCCCTCGCTCCTCTAGCCATTCCAGACGCGGCTTCTGCCCACCTACACACCTCCCACCGTCCCCTCCAGGCTGTGTAGGAAAGCGTCGTTTTCAGTGATGGTGTCACCTCTGCAGACCCCCAGCAGCCTGGCTGTAGCTGTTCCTGAGCAGCGTAGCCATTAGGGAGAATTAGAACAGCAATGCAAAGGGCAGAACTGAGAGCATAAATATTAGATGAGTGGGTTTCAGTTCCTTAAGCATTTCTGTGTGGCTTGAGCCTATTAGTATATAGGACTGAGAATTCTTTTTATTATTAATACTATTAATATTAGGCACCAGAGAATGTCTCATGTCATATTAAAATGTCCACATGGGTTATTGTGCATCTCCATTGTTTAAGAATTTGTGACTTTTCAGAGGGTAAAAATGAAGAAAACCTTTGCTATTGAGCGCTTTTCTTTCCTCTTACCAAAAGGTTCAATACGTGCACTGCTTTTACTGAGCTTTTTTAATTAATGAATGTTTTTCTTCTTCCTTTTTTTTTAAGCAAATGAAGAAACATCCATGTCGACAATGTGACAAATCTTTCAGTTCATCCCATAGTTTGTGTCGTCACAATCGTATCAAGCACAAAGGCATTAGGAAGGTTTATACGTGCTCGTAAGTTCTGCCTTTATTTGCTTAGATATAGAGTGTAAACTAGCAAAACACACTGTTAGTTGAATTTCTTTTCTTGATTATATAAAAGCCAGTGTCCTGTTAATTCAAATGAGTAGTTACTTATACAGATAAATAGGCCTAACTATTTAGTCTGTCTTACAGCCATAAAACACAGCAGGCTACTGAGAATGCCTGTGCATAAAGTCTGCTCGTTCACTCTGAATATAGATTGCTCCAGTGTTTCTCATTTTATTTTGTAATTGTGCCGTTTTCTTGTAATAATTACCTGTGCAATTGATTGGGAAAACACTGTCACTGTCTTTAGTAGATTGTACTCCGGTATGGATATGTTTACTAGTCTTTCTGATATTCTTCAGAAACTACGGCTGCTGTTAAGCCTGGCGTTGGAATCTGTGCACGTCTGCTTTGTGTCCTTGTAGGCACTGCCCGGATTCAAGACGTACTTTTACCAAGCGGTTGATGTTGGAAAAACACATTCAGCTGATGCATGGCATTAAAGACCCTGATGTGAAAGAAATGACTGAATCAACCCACATGGAAGAAAGGGAAGTAAAAGAAGACACAAAGGTAATCACGTGGAAGATGCGTTCAGTCACTGAGAGTGAATTTTTTCTGCGTGGATGCTGAGGATCTTTAGATAGGTGCAGGTGTTTTGATCCCCTGACTGCCTGATCTTCTGTGAAGCAGAGCCCAAAAAGTACCCCAAAGGTTTCAGCAGCAAGTTCTGTAGCGCTTCCACTGGGACGTGTTGTTGGACAGACTTTCTGTGTGGTTTCACCACTGAATGACAGAGAACGTAACTTACCCCTTAGTAGTTTGCTTTAGGAGCAGTTAGGTATCGCTTAGTAAGCAGTAGTAATAAAGTAGTTAAAACAGAGTTCCAGAAGGTGGTGCTGCAAAGTTCCTGGACTGATTGCTGCATTCTGTGTACAACTGAAGTCTCCTTGGGGGTGTGCTTGGATGCAGTCATGCTGGCAAGTATCTGATGTGGTTTCTGTGGTGTTTTACGTGCTGTAGGTCTGTCAGAGCTGACACAGACACATTTTATGTGCAGCTGAGTAAAGAAAGCCCCTAGTTTTCCAGTGTGTACAACATGTATTTGCTTGTATTGGTTCAATATTTTATTTGTCAAAGTCATACTGGAATCTGCCAAGGAAGAGTTTTTGAAGTCTGCGAGTCACAAACAGTTATGAAAAGGACTGCGTATTTATGCTTCCCTGATAGACCATTTATGGCTTTTTCCAGGTCCCCAGTCCAAAGCGTAAACTGGAAGAACCCGTCCTGGAGTTCAGGCCTCCACGAGGCGCAATCACTCAACCGTTGAAGAAGCTGAAGATCAACGTCTTCAAAGTTCACAAGTGTGCTGTTTGTGGCTTCACGACAGAAAATCTCCTCCAGTTTCACGAACACATTCCTCAGCATAAATCTGACGGCTCTTCGTACCAGTGCAGGGAGTGCGGACTCTGCTACACATCTCACGTGTCCCTCTCCAGACACCTCTTCATCGTCCATAAGCTGAAGGAGCCTCAGCCAGTATCCAAACAGAACGGCTCCGGGGAGGATAATCAGCAGGAGAACAAACCCAGTCACGAGGACGGGTCGTCTGACGGCGCGGCATCCGACAGGAGGTGCAAAGTGTGCGCAAAGACTTTTGAAACGGAAGCGGCCTTAAACACTCACATGAGAACACATGGCATGGCCTTCATTAAGTCCAAAAGGATGAGCTCAGCTGAAAAGTGATCAGAGTTTTTGGGACACAGAAATCTCTCTCCGCATTGGAACACTAAATGACATTTTTGCTACAGAAAGTTCACGGTATAATAGTGTTAAGAGTACTGTTCAGGCTGTTGCAATATATTCTGCATAAAAGTGTCCCCCTCACCTCATTGTCTATGCCCTCGAAACCATTGAAGCAGTATTTGAGTTGAAAAGAGTTTGTATATATTTAATAACTTTTATACTCTTTGTTATGTGTTTGTATCTGTATCTAGTGGAAAATTTTGGTTTTTTTCTGTTTTGTTTCTGTTTTTTTCTAGTAAGTTTCTTTAAAACAGAGCTCTGAAGGCTGGGGCAGTTCCTTAGATTCTCTTAAACTGTTTCTTACTTGCTGGCTTCTGGGAGAGAGCTTCGCCAGTGGAGGTGCGGCAGAAGGCGGTGCTTGGACCAGAGAGGGGAGGGGAAGCAAGCGAAGGTGAGATTTTAAATTCTAAGAACTTGTGCTTCTAAATGCCTAAGGAAGCTTTTAAACTTTCTCTTACACACACACACATATATATATATATAAAAAAAAAAGGAAAAAAAAAAAGAAGGAACAGTACCTCTGCATACGTAAGATGCAGTGCTGGTTTTAGGTGGCAACACCGGAACAGGTGCAGACCCCCTAAACTGATAAAGTACTTTTGAAAAGTATAATTGCACAACTCTCTGTATCATGAAGTGATTTTTTTTTTTTAGGCCATCAGGTGCTCATGATCAAAGCTCAAATTGTTACAAAAGGGCTGGGCTGCTCTGGATTTAACAAGTAAGATGTAATTAGAAGAATAGGTTTATAATGATGATGTTTTTTGTCATGTAATTTATTAAACATTATATAGAAGCGAGTACACAGCATTATGTATTTTCCCTTATTTCTGGTTATTGAGAGAAAACAGTTAACCCTCACTGCAGGGGTTGGTGTTCCCAGCTCTGTACGCTAATGCCAAATGTTCTGGTGCTCGGTGTCCCGTTACACCCACAGCTGTGCAGGAGCGAACACACCACCCGGGTCAGGCAAACCGGGGCTTTGTAGCTGCAGCACAGCCCGCGGGAAGCTGGTTCAGCCATTTCAGCCGAGTCCCACGTCCCCAGTTATGCTTTCACAAAGTACAAAAAGGTACCATGCTGTCCCTTTCGTATAGAGTTCTCTGTGAGAGTTATATTTTTTGGTTGGTTTCTGCATTTTATACCTTGTATGTATCCCTAAAAGAAAATTTTTGTACTTTTTTTTAAAACAAATTGTGTATATATAGATAGCTGCATGATTTACAGTAGTAGTTGTTTGGTTCCTTAAAAGTCTTGCTGCTGTCAGATGTTGATATACACTATGTCCATCACAACTGTATTAAACACATTTCATGTGTAAATAAATGTGGAGCATTTTGCCCCTGAAGATTTGTGAGATTCTGTTATTTATCATTAAATTCCAACAGTTTTAAAGATGGAAGTGTTTGAAAAAAATACGGATCCTTCTCGGCCACTTCTGTAAAACTTCTTAATCACTCTGGAAGCGATGTATCGGATACTTCTGCTTTCTCTCTTCATCCTCCTCCTTCATTTGGTTCGTGAGTAAACGCGTGTTATCCCGTGTATATTACTCGCATATTGAGTGGTTACGAGGTACTTCTCCATCCTGAAACACCCACTGGTGTCGCAGGATCTCCGCGTGTAGCACATGCTGCCGCCCATCACCGCCCCACCCATCGCGTGGTTACCTCTCTGACACTTGTTTGTTGCTGTGCACCGTCAACTGTACAACAAATGAGTTACCACTATGCAGAATGGCGTTTTGTATACAGTGAACGGATAATAAAAGTTAAATTTTCACAGCCATTATTAAAACTTCAGGTTATTTTCTCTTTTCACTCTCTTGCACTTGTGCGAACCAGTAACGGGTCGTTGCCAGTGCTGCCAAGAGGTGAAACGTGGGCAGTTACCGGGCGGTGCCCTGGGAGCTGTTGGGCAGGAGGGGAGGTGGGTCCCGCACTGCCCATGCCCCAGGATGGGGGCTACAGCTGCACGTGAGGTCTGACACTTGAATTGTTTGCTTTTAATTAATGTTGTGGCACTGACAGTCAGTTACAATGCTGGTGTTCATATTCCTCCTTTCTACACCTTCTTTCCTTTCAGGATTTAACAGTAGTGGATTGAACCTCATAAACTCTGTGAGGTAGGAAAGGGATTATTTAGCCTCCGCTGTTTTGCAGCCACTCTTTTGGTTGAACACAGAGGTACGTAATGCGGCACATCGGCTCCAGCAAGCAGATCAGAACAGGAACACTAATTAAGGCTTCAGGGAGCATTTAAGCAGGCAGGAAAGCGCTTTAGTGTCAGGTCTGGGTTACCGTGTGGCTGCTTCGCTCTGCCCACCCTGTACAAAAGCGGGGATCGCTGGTCTCCGCAGAGGCAGTGCCTGATAGGTAGATAGGGGGGTGTGTGTATAAATGTGTATATATATATATGTATGTATATTCTCTCCCTCTAAGCAACTGAGGAGTGCTTTGGTGGTTAAAAGTGCAGCTCTCGAAGGCTGCTGCTGCTGCCCACGCCGTTGGTGACAGGGTGGCAGGGCTGGCCATGGTGCAGCAGATGCCATGCCAGGGGTTCGCCCGGCGCGGGGTGTCGCGCTGGCAGCACACAGG